TTTTTTTTTTTTTTTTTTTTTTTAACCGAATTTAACGTCATTTTTCCCCAGCCGGGGGTTAGACGTGCTTGCACCAGGTACAAGTCTTTTTTTGAAGCAACATTTTACGGCTGGATGCTCTTCCTAACGCCAACCCAAAACCCTAGTAGGGCCCAGGAACCCTCTAACTGAGGGGGGAAATGCGTGTTAAGTGCCTTTCCCAAGGGCACAACGTCTGGGTGCATGTCCGGACATGTCTGGGTCCAACCCTGGGGATTGAACCTGGGTCTTGCGGTTGACAGTCGGATGCTCTATCCACTACACCACACAGACGCCACAAGACATCATGACATATTTCTGTCCCATGTACGGTGAATATGAACTGGTCCAGTGAGTCACTTGACATGGTAAACAAGTCCTCAAAATTGGTCAGGGTCCACCATAGTTAGTATACAGCAGCAGTGTTAGTGCCTAATTTGTACTCCCAAAAACTCTTACTCCCTATCAAGTTGGCACGGACACCTCCTCGTTCCCATTTTATGATGTCCAAGAAGCTGCTTCCTACAGTCCCTGAATACTAACGTTAGTACCTGGAGCCTTAGAAAGTTCATATATTTGTTTCAAAACCTCCTGATTGGACACAGATGGGAGGAGGGGAGGAGTACAAATTGTACCTTTGTATCTAAGAGACGACTACAATCTTCATTTACCTCAAAGACACGAAGGAGGACCTTTAGGTACAGCTTCCGAATCCCCAGTGAAACTCCAATAGCTGCAGGGACGAGAATCAGCAGTGCAAAGCCCAGAACCGGGAGAAAGAAGACCCCGATGACCGTCAACACTACAACAGCGTCCGCCATGTTCGTTCGTGAGATATATGAAGGGCGCGCAGTCCAGGTGTTTGCGGGTCTATGGATGCACCAAATCAGGGATAGACGCTTCTCGGGTTGATGTACCTGCCCCAGGTGCACTTGGTAACGTCTCTGCCGTGGAAAACTACCGGAAAATCATTTGTGAGGCTGATAAAACTAACGACAACCTGCTTTGACGAGCACCTCACACGTCTCACAAAGGTACGTCAACAGGGTCAGTCTAGGGTTATTAGGAGATGCCATCTGAACAGGGGTAAAGGAAGGTGCTACAAAATAAATCGAATTTCATCCAATGTAACTGTTGGCCTAACATTCTGCCTATAGTAGACCTTAAAAGCGGTTTAGTATCAAAGTGATTCGGAAGACAGATGTATTTTGTAGAGTTAAGTCGACGTACAATACTGGGCGATCACCATGTGATAGTGGTATGGTCTGATGGATGAGGTCATTGTAAAAGCCTGTAATTACGCAATACCCTGACCTTAGTCTTAAAACATCTAGTGCTTTTAGTCTGATCGTCCCTTTCTTGAAAACGTAACAGGGTGAACAACCATACAAAGTGCTTAATTGATTTAGGAAATCAGTGGATATAAAAATCATTTGATTGAATCATGTGTAGTGAACTTACCAAATCCAGGAATTTTTAGGTCATGAGAAATTGTAAGTATTGTCTTTCAGTGATGCATGAAGTTGGGATAACTCTCTTAAAATGTATGTCTCAATTAATGTCCCAATGCCTTGTTACGATAATTGTATCATTTTTGTAGAGCATGGTTTCTAATTTTACACCGATACCCCTTGATTTGGAAGTTTTCTAAAAGCCGAGCCCACTTCTATCTTTTACGTACCAAAGCAAAAAAAATGTTTTTTTTCTTGCGTCTGATGTGCGCGATGCATGTTTGACTGCGGCAGATATGCTTACCTACTGACAGAACATTCAAAGTGGCATGAACATGAAACAGCAGTCAATAAAACAGAAGTAGATACAATCTCTGTACAAAAGGAATCCTTTATTTGCCAACCTGGAGACTGTACATCACACATTTTTGAAGGCACTTGACCACATAAACTCTCCATCTCTCCACATGTACCAAACATGTAACATCTATTCTGTACACTATTATATGAACCTAAAAAAAACCCGCTGTTCGACTGGCTGAACCAATTCTGAGCACTGATTGGCTGAGCAGCAGGTTTGCTTATCCATCTCATAACCCTTTTCTGTGAAGAAATCCAAGCACACTTTCTAGATGCAACAGAGGGCATTTTTCTTAGCTCAAGTGCTACACAGCAATCCTATTCATTCTTTGACAGCCCATTCAGTGTGAAACAGCAAAAAAAAGCATTGCAGTTGCAGTGCTATCCAAGAACATTCTGAGTACCTTTTAAATTATACACAAATGTAACATAACATTTTGAGACATAGAGATACTCAAGGTCTGTCTATGTTCAGGTATTGCTAACTCTGACTCTTCTGTTATCAGGAAATAACAAAGAAATGCAAAATAGCAAAGAAATGCAGACTGATAACAGACCACAAAAAAACTTCTTCAATGCTCGGTGAGTTAAGTAATAGTTCAAAGATATTTCAGGCATAATGATGTCTAAACTGTGTAACACAGAGGCTATTCAAATACATTCTGTTGCCTCCAATATGGAAAGTTGGTCACAGAGACCAATCAAGGTATACTTACCACAGCCTACACATAATACTATGAGGATCCCATTCAGAGGAAGAAACACTATTTTCTCACAGTCCTAGGAGCTAAGTATATTATTCCTTCATTATTTGGTGTTTCGTATTAAGTTGACAGCTGCACGGGTGGGGAAGAGATATACATCGGGTTACATTTCTACTGAGGTGAGGGAATTACAATTATGTATACCGTCACTACACTGTACAGCACAGTGACCAACGCGAGAGGCTACAACAATGACCTAGGCCTCTCGGTTACTGTGGAGAGTTGCCAGCTGTAAGTTACATGATATACAGATGTACGATTCACCGTCGGCTCGACAGCAGCCACTGGCAAGAGTATATATGCATAGTATATGTTTATATGTTTTGTGGGAGTCCTCGTTAATTGCACACTTGGTCAAAGACTGAGACAAGTAAAATTCAAAACCTCTACGTGATCGGAGTAACAACCAGAAATATTGGGATATGTTAGCCTATTCTCAATGGCTTTGAGATAATGTTGATAGTGCCTTTCACCGATATCTATTGTATTTGTCCATGATGTGCTCATAGCTACCCTGACAGATCCTGTGAATCAAACTTCAATTGATCATACAACTCTGCTGAGACTTTTCTGCCACCAAACCACCGGCCATTCAGGGCTTGGACACCTCGTTCTGCCTCTGTGAAGGGAAACAAGATATTTGTCATAATTAACATCAAGAAAAACTTCTTTCATAAAGAGGCACAAAGAGTCAATTAACATAAAGAAAAGCAGAATACCTTGAGAAAAGAAATCAAGCTACAGCAGGAAGATGATGTTCAAGCTTTGACGTAACATAAGATGGAATGAAACTACATACAGCAATTTCTGTTACCACTGGTGAGAATGTAAAAGACACTTGCATCTGTTTTCCTCGTAACTCACCGAAAGATTCAGAGAACTCCACAAATATTTTGACAATGACATCTGCATTTTCCTCCTCGCCTTGTCTCTCCTGGTAGATGATGACCCTGTTGACTTGGCCATACTTGCCACACTCGTCTGTCACTTCCCCCTCCAGCTCATCATCCAGGTCCTCAATCCCAACCATGTTTCTTAGGATCATCACATTAGACTGGAAAAAGAGAGAAGAAGAAATAGGGTTAAGACTTCAATTTTATTTGTTTGTGTGTGACATCAGCAAAGCATACAGTTGCATTTTCATCCCTTTCAATCAATTACAAAAGTTATCAATGTGAAATCAAACCTTCCTTAAGTCATTATTATATTTCAGACCAGCTGTGGTTTCTGTCTTAGTAGAAATCAGATCTGGCAGGAAACAATGACGTCTAGTGAAGCCCATGAACGTACTTCTGATTTTCTGAGAAGCTTCTGCATGACCATGTGGCGGGCATTGCTGCCTGAGATGGAGAGGTTCTCCTGCTGACCCAGGGTCTGTGGCAGGTCATCTTCAACCTTTTTTCTCTGCTCCTCGTTAGCTGGTCCTGCCGTGGCTGTGGCTGATACAGCTGGCTTCATGGGGGTAACACCTGAAGAAGAAGAAAAACACTAACTATCCATGGTAGAAGTCTAGTGTTTGTTCACAGAAAACATAACAAAGTATTGCCTTTCATCATACCCATCTTTTGACTGCAATGTAAATTTGTTGAGTATACAGTCAAAATTCACTAAATACATGGCAAAAAAAAACTCAATTCATGGTAAAGACAAGACTATGCTATGTAACCCACCTGTAATGAGGCCTGGTGCAGATGATGCCATGACAGGTTGAGGGAGTTGCACTAACCCTGGCGCAGGAATGGACAGGCCAGGCTGACCTGGCATCGACTGGGAGAGAAGCTGTTGGTCGTAAGAAATTCACACCATCAAAAGTTGTCCAATAAGCACAAGAAACAGAAAGACGACACAACAGCAACAAATCAAATCAATGAAACAGACAAAACAGAAGGGACTGGTAGTCATAACACACTTGGGTAAAGAGGATAGACATGTTTTTCTTTTTTTTTTTACTTCTAGCAATCAGTAAGTTTTTACAGTTAATATTTTCTTCTTCTGGAAGAAACTTTTCAGAAACAAAACTTGCTCATCAGAAAACACAATACAAGGACAATGCTTCAACAACCACTGCTTGACTAGAAGTATGTATGACAATACTCAATGATTCAATCACACAAAAAGTATTCTGAGCTACTTGGCTAATATTTACCTGTGACGTCGAGCTGATGGTACTCACCCCTGGCTGTACGCCTGATACGACAGCTGCCGTACTGGCCACAGCTTCCAGGGCGGTAATTTTGGCAGTAGCGGCTGCAGCAGCAACGGCAGCTGCTGGTGGGAGCCCACCTGGGCCGGCTGGGGACGAGATCTGTAACTGTGGATTCAGCGCCTGCAGGGGAGAAGTCATTGTAGTCAGAGGAGGATAGTTGATAACAGTGTCATTGTCAATTCTCATGCCATTAACTGTGAAACAATGTATCGATGTCAAACGCTCAACAGTTTGACAGTGACTTTTTATAACAGCATTCTTAGTTCAACGAAACAAAAAACTAGTGTAACAGGTGTTTCATAAGAGTAAAACATTAACTTCTCTTCAAATTCTCAGCAGTTGTATGGGTAAGGTACTAATATATCATCTTCATGTACAATGTCAGTATTGAGACAAACACTGGGAAGAAAAGCAAACTTCAAAAAAGTTGTCGTGTACTTACATGTTTGGGAGGTGTGACAGCCTTTCCTACTCTAAGGTACTGCCCTCCCAGGTCAAATAGGTTCATTGATGCAATGGCGTCCTGTGCAGACTGTGGCTTTTCATACTCTAGAAACCCATAACCTCTGTAGGAAAAAACAGTATTATCAATATCACATGAGTTCTTGTATGGCAAAACTGGTTAGCTCAGTAATTGCAAACAGTGAAAACATTTTAACAGTTCTGGACATAACAGATTGATCAATTATCTGGGTTGCATCCCACTGTTTTTCTCTGTTAGGAATTCCAACCAAGACTTACTTGTGTTTTCCAGTGACTGCATCTGGTGCCAGCTCACAAGATTTAATCTTCCCAAATGCCTCAAACACACTGCAAAATGTGTAAATCACCATTGTTAATACATCTTCTACTTCTATTAACGATTACTCAAATACTTCTACTGATAATCATGTTATCAAAGATCAACATAAGAAGTAAATCATCTCATTACGAGTCTACTATCACACATCAAAACTTTTAAGTGATTATTCCAGTGCACAAAATCACAGTGGCACTTTAACAAAATGCATGCTTCAGTCTATTGGCCAATTTTCTGTCTTACAATTTGTCCAACAAAAAACTACCCCTCTACAACATTGTCTTGTATCCAGCAGAGAGAAGACGGTTTTAACTTCTCCTGGGGAACAAATCATCATTTTCCCACTAATTACGTACATACATCATTATACAGATGACGACTCCCCCTTTAGGAAAGAAAGAAAGAAAGACTGTACTGTAGTTATTACATGTCCTGATACTGTCATGGTGACATATGTAGCACCACAGCAGTGATATCTATCTGTGAGCTTAGCTAAGGTGGAAAGTCTTAGCTACACATTGGTGAGAGGGTCTGGGTTGATTATCATCCTTGGGCACTCCATTATGTGAAAACCCTGACCTCTTTATGTCATCAGCCGCAAGGTCGGGGTGCACTGAGGAAACGTATATGCGGTTGTAATGCTTGGCCTCCTCTACAAGCTGATCTACTATTGGCTGAGCCGACGCCATGTTGCTAGGGCGACCAACCTGCAGAAGGAGACATGACAAATGGGGTTTAACATGACTAAGTGCAGCAATGCTGACCTCTTTATGTCGTCAGCCGACAAGTCAGGGTGGACCGAGGAAACATAGATGCGGTTGTGGTGCTTCGCCTCCTCAGTCAACTGCTCGACTATAGGCTGTGCCTGAGGCATGTTGCTGGGGCGACCCACCTGAGAAACGGCAAACATTGAGTCCCGCTACGTATCGAGGTCCATTCCACAACCACTCAGTAACTAGCCTTGTCATGGAGAGGAGGGGGCAGGGCGCAGTTTGCCGTGGCAAAGCTTGTCAGATATGTTAGCAGAGGTTTGTCGCTAGACATATCAGCCTGGAGCTGTCAGAGTAATTTGTGTGCGCATCTTCCAGATAATTTGGAGGGGGTGGGTGCAATATATCTGCAGGCCACTGCAGGATAGACTGCCAAGTACTGCTGCCACACGAGAGACTACAACCCACAGCATCTTCTCAGCAGACAACTCACAAGAACGTCGTACAGCAGCTTATGTCTGGGGAGAATTGTCAGTCTGCTTGACATGGGAAAGGCAGACCAAATGCTGGTTATGCTGCTAATAACTTAATCTGGTGATATAGGATTCAACATTTCTCAACAAAATGGAGAAACAAAACCTGTCCAAAAATGAACATCAAAACATTATAAATATTGTTAAAAAAAATCATTTTTATGCAACATAAGTTTATAGATCAACACCAGCTAGCTTTTATTATCTGGTTCAATAAATTTTCTACAACATAAAATTCAATCAAAAAATGTATTAGTGCTCAAACTTGCCAATCTCAGTTTGCGATTGAATATCTTTGACTGTTCCCTAGCCTTTCCCAAACATCACCTTCCCTAACCCTTAGTTTTGTGTAGTGAAATTTCCAGTACTCTCAGACTGAACAAAGAAACAGAGATGAAAGACTTCATACCTAAATGTGCTTTACAAAAATTAAGCTTTCCCAATTGATGGCCCCAAGAAAGAAAGTTGATGGAAATCATCATCACTGACAAATGGAAACATGTCACCAATGTCCTTTGCAAAATACGTGCACATCTACCGGGGCCAACTCCATACCTTGATATTTCTGCCACCTAACATGACCCCGTTCATCTGCTCCAGAGCCAGCTGGGCAGCTTCAGGGATCTCGTACTCAATAAAAGCGTAGCCCTTGTGTTTCATGGTCAGGGGGTCCCACGACAGGTCGATGTTCTTGATGGGACCAAACGGACTAAAGGCCTGCTTCAGAGTATCCTCCCGCAACTCGTAGTAGATGGATCCAACATAGATTCTGTAAGATGTTAAATTTAATACAATTAGACGTGTGGAAGGGACAAGATACACAATCTTCAAATCATGACAACGTACCACAGATAATGATCTCTTAATAATTGACGAAGAATTTTGACTCTGTAACAAGATTATGTATGTTGTTCCTGAACTCATTCACATACTACTGACCTGCACATGAGGGCCAGGGCTCTTTGTCTCTGGGCTGCGATCTGTAAGTTGGTCATTTGCTGAAAAACAATAAAGATCAGAATTCAACATAAGGTACCATAATGCTGCAATGTTATATTTGAATTTTTTTCCTATTGTTATGTCTACAGGACATATGATCATTCATGAGTATGTATGAAAAATCCTCAACAAGCACAAGGAATGTTAATCAGGATAGTTGAAGTAAGAGGTTCATAGTGGAAACCATTGTGACTGGTATATATATGTTAAGACAGATAATACATTGTCAGTTAAGTATATATGAATGTCACAACAAATTGATCATGACTCTAAATTGACACTTGAAGAACCCAACAAATGATTTTCTACTTGTCCTTAATCAAGTGAAAACAAGAAGTACAACGTTAGCTTACTTCCACTCTTTGAACAATGTTTGTATACCTGCTGCTGATGTGCAATGGTCTGCTTGACCAGCACACTTTTGATACTCTGCTCCATAGCATATTTCTTTGCCTTTGTCACTGCCTCTTGTTGGTCTTTGGTCAGTGGTGGTAGCCCAGGGGCCTTTCCTTTTCCCTCACCATCTCCTGAAACCATGAAGAACACTCCTTAGTTTCTTAGATTACTACCTAATTGTGTCTGCCTGTCCAAGTACAGGGAGAGAGTGTTATTTTGATTGGCAGACACAGATCTATGTGTTTGAACGTGTGCGTGTCCCCATTATTTTGTGTAATTGGAGATTTGAACACAAACAGTCTATTACTCTCTTCAGAGTTTACCTTTAATATTGAAGTTAAGAAATGTGAAGCTGAGTCAAACTTCCACAAAATCTTTAAAAGGCAACAAAAAAACAAAGTCGGAGATAGAAGAGAGCTCAAGAATGAAAAGCTTTGCCTATGAGAAATCGATTTCAGATGGGTTTTATTTAGTTTACTTTGCCTGGCAATGTGTGTGTGGAATATGCTGTATGTAGAGGACAAGAGACACTTTGACACTGGGAAGAGCTAACACAAAACCTTCTTCTCCGTTGTGTTACCCATCGCGGTCCCGGCGGCCATAGCGGCCAACATAAAGGGCGGATGCGCCATATGAAGCATGAGCGCGCCATCCGGTCCACATGGTGTCACTCCTGCTGGGGTTATTACTACATCATACAAAAATACACAAGAGAAAAAGACAGGAAGGGGAGACAAAATGCATCAGTTAGTGGTCGCAAAGGGCTTTGTGCCACCTCCCACACCCCTCAACAGTTATACAAAAAAAGCCATGACATGGCTATTCATAGTATGGCAGATTTCAAGCAAGCCCCTGATTCCCCATACACATGCAAACTTCTATTTTGAGACTTCTTCACTCCCCAAAGAAATGTACTGTCCCTCCCCGACTATCTAACAAGTTGAGCACGAATCAGGGTCGAGGATTGCTGTAGATGGACTTATCAATTCTTTGCTCTTACTTGAAATGATGGTTCCCATAATTCAAAATGACAAGCAAATAACTCATCTATAGTGGCCTCAGCTTTAGGACTCAATAAAAACAGAACATATTTTATCCCTGTCAACAGTTATGGTTTGTCTAGACACGAACAGTGCTAGGTAACGATAAAAATGGACTACAGTCTGAAAATGGCGATGACAGGGAACCTAAGATGTGGAGTGGCATGGCGGTGGATTGGAGCTGTTGTGTTGCCCGCTGTTCGCCGCATTGGCGGGCGTCACCCAACGTCATACGTCAAACCTCGCGTTCGTTCTACCATCTGATCTTTGTGGCAACAAACAAGAGAAAAAGAAGAAAGAGAAACAAAAAAGCCCTGTTAACATGGCAGGTTCATGCAGGCTGACTGCCCACTACTAACAATCCTGTGGAAGGGAGGACCTGCAAGCTTCAGCTTCATGTTTCTTGGAACCAAACACAATCACTCAAGCACTGACAGCATTCACTCAACAACAGCACTTTAGCCTACAGTATCAACACAGTAAGGAAGAATACTAATATAAGCAGAGATGCTTTATAGCATCAACCATAAACTTGTCCCGGGTACTATGCTTGCTGACTCTGACAACTGAGGAACCTAGAATTCCTTGAGTTGTGCATGCACCTGCAGGAGAAACAAGAAAGAACTGGAAAGAAGAAAAACATGGTTAGTACATGGAGATACCTAAGTACCCTTAATGCATACAACCTGAAAAAACATAAAGGCTGCACAACCTAGACAGTACTCTACACCACCCTACTCACACTCGAGAAGCCAGGGCCCAGTCTATACTAAGTGTGTGGGCCATTCTATCGGGCACTGGCTTAACGAGCATAAGTTGCACTGTCCTATAGCAGTTAGCATTATCAAGACTATCCAATAGAGGAGAAACTGTCATGGCCTAACACAATACGGGCCCTACCCTATGGGCTCTATAGTGAGCCACATCAAACCCTTGGCATGGCCACAATGCCATGACAGTTTCTTCACAGCATTTAGAAGTTACCACTTTTGGGGGCACACATGCTCTATTACAGTTCACTACTGTTACCTTTCAGCAAGTCTTCAAGAAGCCTTGGTGTCGGAAAACCCCACGACAACATGGCTCCGACCGTACGCTCTACAGAAACTCAAAAACAGAGAAAAAAAATCTCCGAGCAAGATGTATCCACATTGATAAGATGACACAGCAGACCATGGATAGAGGTCACAAATAGAAACAGTGCAAACAAGCTGCTACGAACTGCCAACACAGAGGAGATCCACACACTACCTTGTGAAGTGAGTTAGGTATGCTACAGCCAGTCATCCCATTTCACACATTCCAAGAAACATGAGCCCGCTGCTGAGGTTGGAACATGGACTTCCAACAAGCCAAAATGGGTCAACAACCAAACCTGCTAACAACCTGACAAATCCTTCAGGTTTCAGCGGCTTTCCTTCTTCAGGTTTTAAAGTTGTTCATGTTCCTCCTGTAAAAACACCTTATAAGGAGAGAAGATAAAGCATGGAACATTTTGGGCAAGCCAAAATATTTACATATAAGAAAGTTCACATAATCCCAACTAAAAGGTTTAAATCTTTCAGTTGATGTCCTCCCTTCCTTATCTGGTCTAGCATATACAATGGTAAATCTACTTGGTTAGCACTGGTACAGATTTGGTGCATTGAGCGCAAGACATGCATGGCCAAGATAAGAAGCATCACGGAAGTAAAAACATAAAATAGCAAGACAGCTTTACCTTTTATATCTTCTGTCTTGATCTTCTTTGACAGGGGCTCACCATCTCCATTCTGTAAAGAGAAAGAAATGTTGTACAGTTAACCATAGGTGGATTCTAGTTCTAGTTCTGTTCAAAGCAAAAAACAGTTGTCATGTCTACATTGTGAATGCTTAACTTCTGCCCGAAAAAATTAGGTCTGCTGTGTATCTGTGTCTCTGTTTTTTTTTATAGCATAAATGAATTGTCAGCATTACACTAACTGCAACCCCAGGATGGGCTAACTACCAGATGTGAATTCTGGCAATAATCCAATGAAATTTCCACTTTCACTACTGTAAATTCATTTATTTTCACTGGGACTTAATTTCACAGTAGGACGGGAAGGACATTTAAACAGGATTTATGTTTACGATTGAGACAATTCTGTATTAGTCTGTAACGTTAATACAAAGGACATGTACAATCATAGTATCACAATTTTGCGATGGGGAGGTCACCAAGAAAAATGAACCATCACGAACATCTCAAGATGTACGGTATCCTTAAGCTTCGTAATTTTGCCATCATCATCCTAGCCTCTCCAGGCCTAGAACAAGTCAACACAGCGTTTCCTAACCCTCTATTTATTACAAAGGTCAATCTGATTACAATAATCCACATCTGCAAAAGCAAGGTCTTTACATATGAATTTTGCATGAAGGCCGAATTATTTCAGCTGCATATTTCCCTTGTGCTACATCAAGGAGATAATACTTTAATAGGCAGAAGGTCTAATACATGGAGGCCTGAATTCCAAGGGCTATCATCTTTTTCAGATCTTTTGCATCAGGTACTGTGCATCGTAACTACTAGCATATAATTTTACTAATAAAAGAACTTGGCACTAGGCATCAGGACCCCCCACCCCCTTCCATTCCCTCACAACCCTTTGTGCAGGTGCAAGTTTTTATACTGCAGCATACATGTGTAAACTGTTGCCGCACAGAAACTCAAACATCACGCGTCGCGGAAAAAAACTGTAAACGTTATGATTTCCAGGCACGTAGGAGGAGTTACGGTGTTGAACAACACGTTCTTCACATAACTCACGTCCACATTTCGCATGCCTGGTGCGTGGCCATTTTCGGCAGTCCGGCTTGAACCGGTGCCGACGTTTACTGCGACGCCGAGACAAACAGGCCGTGCCAAAAATATCTGTCCTTTCTCCCTGCGTGATCCACCCATCACTACGACCTGTCAAGGGATACCTCAGATTCTGTAGCAATCCGTGCTCGGATAAATGGGATGGTAGCCGTGCAATTGTGCAGAAATGTTTTCTGCAAATAATTTGGACGGTTCTTCTCTTCACACGAATCATTAGGCGAAGAAAAAATGGCGGACACGCAGTGCTCTGAAGACGAGGGAAACAGCAGTTAAATATTGCACGATTTACAATCAAAATACGTCTAATGCGGACTCATCATCACAAAGGATACTTGCTGTGTGTATTTATGCACATTCTGAGAGATCGTCGTCCGTTTTTACCTGTTTAACATCGCCGTTTGGTAGCTGAGAGCTCGCGTCCATAGTGGCTGCCATCTCATCTCCCTGCACCGCAGTTTGATCACGTGGAGCTGGCCCTGAAGTACCCGGATGTAACAAGCGACACAGTGGAAGAGCTGGGAACAGCAGTATTGCCTGTAAATTCAATATTTGTATTAGTTTGTCTTTGTTAGGGATTTTATTCAAAACGATATAACTTATAGTGTTCTGACAATATTCGTATCGGTATTATGATCGAGCCAAGGAGGCGCTTTCATACTATATCATACAGTGTACAAGTTAGTACACTGAAAAGCGCCCTCTAACGTTATATACTAGTCGGCATCCTTCCATCATGTAACGTAAACGTTATATATGTTGATACAAATATGCGTCTGCGCAAATATTTTCGGTATTCTCCATTATGTTGACTGTAACAAAAAAAAGCACAGGTAAAGTGCCATACTTTTATTCACGTCGGTTACTTTTGCTACAAATCGGCAAAAATATATATCAAAATTGGTGCAGTCACTGATAGTGTGTTATTTGGAGCGAAACTGCTGACTCAGTTGAACTTTAACAGCGATGCAAGTCACCCATTCCAACAAGAACATAGAAAGCCAGTTGGGAACATAAACACTACCAACTGCGTTTCCAAGTTCGAATTCCTATTGACAAATGAGCAGAGTTCTCTCCTCACACAATCCAGACATTCAGCAGGTGGAATGTCGGGTGGCGTTGTTTTTCAACTTCCGGAAGCTACGTAACCCGAGTGTCGAAGTTTGTACACTGAGATTTCGGATCAAGAGTCAATAGCTGAGTGAAAGTCCGTGTATTAATCTTATCCAGTACGAAATGTCGTATCGGAGAAGTTGGCACATTTCTTGAGTGAGACGACGCTAACGATTAGCGATGGGAAATGTAGTCATTTCGAACCCGAGTGTCGAAGTTTGTACACTGAGATTTCGGATCAAGAGTCAATAGCTGAGTGAAAGTCCGTGTATTAATCTTATCCAGTACGAAATGTCGTATCGGAGAAGTTGGCACATTTCTTGAGTGAGACGACGTTAACGATTAGCGATGGGAAATGTAGTCATTTCGAACTGCCCGGGAGAAACTATTAACATCTGTGCACGTGCTTGACAAATGATTGTCATTCCTAGAAAGCACGGAAATTACAAAACCACACATTAGTC